GCAGGATATTTTCAAACAAAGCAGCCAGTTGGGTCTCGAGAGCGACAGTCAAGGAGAGGCATAAATGAGTTTTTCTGGGAAGCAGTTGAAGGATAGACCTGGCTCCACTGTCATTCAACCGCCAGCTGAGTTAGAGCTCAGAGCATCCTGCCTGCTGCTGCGCTACAAGCAAACAGGAGAGGTGGAGAGTTCTTCTTGGAGAAAGGTTCCCTTTCCATGAGGAGGTTTTGAAGCAGTTTGCCACGTGGCTTCCTACAAATAATTAAGACAAGCAGTGGTGCAGGCTCTTTCTAATTAGAAATGCAATTGTTGGTAAACCTAAATAAGCCCAGTTGGTGACTTAATATATATGCATATATCCCTTTCGGGGTCTCATAAAAAAGTCTTGTTAAATTTTTTACTGCTTTTGCAAGAGCAAAAGCATGTGGCAAGAATCTAAAGCTGAAACCTCTTAATACCTGTAAATTATTCCTTGTGTGTGTGTGTGGATTTGGCGTCTTACCTGGCAGTGTGCATGTTCTTTCCATTGCCCTCAGCTCCCTATTGAACCCCATTTGTCTCTGGAGAATGACAAGTAGGATGACAGCTGTGAACAAATTAGCGTCAGGAATGAGTCTGAAGCACTATGTAGTCAGTGAAATGAAAGAAAAAAGGAGGACGATGAAGATGGATGGACACGAGGTCAAACTGTGAGCAAAAGATTAATGTGTCACATATGAGACAGAAAGTACCATGTGATTGATGTAACCAGGTCTGTTAGACAGTTATTGGAACGTTCATTTTTAAACTAACTGAATATTAAAATGACTGAAGAACACTTGCACAAACACTGTCCTATAAAAAAAACTGCCTTTCACCAAATAAGATGTGTCCCAAACTGACAGTCAGCAGTCGAAACAAACCTGTTCAGACCACTTCCTCTTGTTTTCACGCTTCAGAGGTCGAAGTGAACTGACATCATTGTCGGGTGAAAACTTTGCATCTGTCAAATAATAACTTTTACGGGAACCAACAGAGACTTATTTGGCCAGCATGCATTTTTGTTTTTATAATGTCTCGCACAACAGTGATATATGAGCATTTGGGCTGTGGGGGGAGCTAGCCAGGGACACCTAACCCCCTTTCTCTCACACAGACACTCATACTTCAAATACTGACGGGCTTTTTATCCTTTTTTCAGAAGCAGATGTCTGCATCGCTGGCTCGGGTCACGCTCTTTGTCAATCACTGTATTGTTCATGCAAACCACATTTAAAGAATAATTTGACATTTTGGCTGTAGGCTTTTATCTATTTGACAGGTATCAAAGTGGCATCCGTCTTCTCTCCTTAACTCTCCATCAGACAGAGAGAGAGAGAGAGCACAGTCCCCAAAATGACTATATGTCACAGTGGCATCACCACTTGTTTTGGCATTAAGCCTAAATCATGAATTTATTACTGTAAACCCACGAGCAGAACAAAAGGAGCAAAACGTTTTAAGAGAAAAAAACATAAAAGACATCTGTCTTGTTTCCATAGCAACAATAAATCCACTAGTAATATAAGCAAGGCAGAGTAAAATGTAAAATGTGATCACATTTCAGTCTGATCTTTTTAGTTGTCATTTAATTAGTTTCATCCTGTTGGATTTATTGCTACCAGTGTGAAGGGAGGGTGCGCCTCTTGATGCAGACAGCTCTGTGAGGAAATATGTTTCAACTGAAGGAAACCCAAGTCAACTTTTCGGCACACACATTTTTCATTGCCTTGGGCCTCGCTGCTTTTGGAGAGAGGCCAGAAATAACAGAGGAGCTCAGACATGATTGATTGTGCCTTTGGTTGCTGATTACCACAGAGAAAGCTAATAATAACTGGACGTGAGACCAGCTTATCAGAGTGATACCACGCGTCCACAGACATGACATTTTATAGATAGATAGATAGATTGATAGATAGATGATAGACTATAGATAGACTAGAACTGTAGATAGAAGACTTACGCCGTGAGATTAGATAGATACGAATAACTTGGGTAAATAGATAACTAAACAGCTTTTATAAAACTAATGTGCAATTTAAAAATTAGCTGTCGACCAATGAAAGTCACAGCATTTAGCATAAAGCAGATTCAAAGCAACGGTCAGGAGCTCCGGGTTAACAACTTTATGTATTCCCATTTAAGATTTTTCAAGGAAGATCAGCTTTGTGAACAGTGGCTGTGATACAGCAGTTGTTGGCGAGTCCACCGGGGCATTCATTACACTTCAATCTAAGTCTTGACACAAAAGCACATTTGACATTCCTTTAAAAAAACACAAGCATTACCCTGAAATGACTCTTTTATTGAGATAAACTATACATACCAGTGAATCAAGAAGGCTTTAAATGTGCACTCTGGCAGCATATGACTCAATCTGTTAAATGGCAAAAGCAGGTGTGCATGCCTCGATGCTGTCCAGGAAAAAGACGGGCAGTATTTCTAACTGCAGCATTCCTCTCCTATTTTCTTAGACATTTATTAAACAATGAGATACTGAGGGTGAGCCTGGATTGCATGCAATTCACCTCCTAAACAATGAAGGGCTGAAAGCGTTGCTGATAGCTTTATGCCACGTAGGAAAAAGAAATCCCTTTTTTGGCAATCATTCTCTTCATCTGCATCACAACTAACACAAATATGTCATCTGTCTCTCCTACTAGAAACACAAGTGTGAACCACGAACCAGGAAACGCTTAATTCTCTCGTCTGCAGCTTTACTTAGATGAGCACAGTCCTACTAAGAAGAAGAAGCCACTGGTTTCCTATAAGCCACGCAGGCATCAACACCCTTGGTTTGAGCTTCTCTCTCCCCTTATCAGGCTCTCCTCTGGCACGGAGGACCAGCTAGAGAAAGACGCTGGACAACTTCCATTTGGAGGGAGAGACGACTGGAGCCACACAGACAAAAAGCAGGCCAGAGAAGAAGGGCTGCTCGCTGTAGCAGTAGCTGACGTGGAGCTGCGTGTGCATCATGCTCTCTGCAGCTGGAGACACTCGAGATGCCTGTCTGACAGCCAGCTAGTGAACCTCAACTCCGGCTCCTGAAGAGTGGGGGACGAAGCAATGTTTTATTCCAACAATAAGTAGTAAAGGGTTGGGAATGTACACAGACTGACAGATATATATAGGCAGTGAACAGACTGATAAACACAGATGCACGCACACTGTTGCAAACACCAACATCCAGGGAGGTCACCTGCGAGTTAGCAGGACATTTGGGCCCTTTTCCCTCTGACACAACAATCTGAACTAAGAAACTGTCAAAAGTGTGTGGTGAACTTGGATCTCCTGCATGTGACCTGATCCACGTGACATGACAAACCCTGACTTTTGGTTTCCAGCATCTCCTTGTTGCTCTAATAGCAGCAGCTGTAATGTTTGCTGTAGGAAATTTTGGGAAATAGATCATAGGTAAACTATTAAGGATGGTCTTGTTTATTGGAAATGCCTGCTGCAAGATTGCATATCTATGGGATACTCCCTTTGTGTCCACTGTTTCCACAATGGTTTTGTGTTTCATCTCTGAATTAATTGCAGACCACAGCCTACCACAGACGGAGGAGTAATGGAAAACTCATTACGATGGGTCTTAACAGCAAAACTTTCCAAGACTTGGTAGTGGTGACTCTTAGATACATGGAAAACTCATTGTGCCCCCAGACCTTCAGCGGAGTCTCTCTCACTCATGCGCTCTCTTTCTCTCAACTATGTGACCAAGATGAAGTCATCATTACTTAATCTGCCTCGTGCCGATACCAACCCCCAAAAATGTTTCCCTCAGCTTTCCCTAGCACATCCAGCCAGATATGTTCGGTATGTGATTGGTCTGGGTCAGAGAGGGGATACTTGCCAGATCCATGGGAGCGGGATCAGTCCTCTATTCCGGCATCCATTCTCTGTCAGACCTATTCATTACATAATCCACTGAGATGTAGGCTCATCATACTTATATGTCTATCTGCCGTCTGTGAAAATCACTAGAACCAAGTGGGAGAAAAAAAAAAAGGCATATAACAACTGCAGTATAACTGATTTACACATAACCAATGAATCTAATTAGCTGGAGATATGTCCTTATTTTAAAAGTATAGAGATAAATCTGTATCATGCATTTGAACAAACTTTAATGTAATTTGAGGAGTAGATCACATTGACTATAGGCATACTGCAGTTGTTAACAGTAGTCTGACATCTAGTGGACAATGGTAAAAACTGCTCTCACAATGTGTGGCATGTGGCAACACTACAGATTAGGACAGCATGATGCATGACTGCTAGAGGGAATAAAAGATGCAAAAAAATTAAAAATGCTTTGTGCCCTCATTGACCCCTGGTTGTCATTCACTCGAACACATTTACACCTCAACATGGGGAGCCGGACAAGTACTGTGAGAGAAGCTAAATTATGTGAGTTGATATTGTGTGTTTACTGTTGAAAAATCTGAAATTCACCAAATCCAGTGACACACAATAAATGTGGCCTTTAGGGCCCTGAGGGTCTGGAGTCTTGGGGCAGCTGCAGCGCTAATGCAGAACATGAGATGTCTGGGATAAATCATATATAATATAATATGCTAAGACTCAACTAACAATATCACAGGGAAACTTCACTAGTTTTTAAAATAGAAAGAAATGTTTGGGAAATGATTACAATGCTGACATTCTCAGTCAGTTAAAGTCAGACTTTGAGAATAATTGAATAATTGTCCAGACAAAGAGAAGTACTCTGTTATTATTTTAGCAGATGAGGCTCACAATGTGTTTAAATACAACTGAACGGCCTAGCAGATCCTCACAGTACATAAACTTCTGATTGGCAGATGTCCAGGCTTCAAAAATGATCTTTTTTTTTTCTACAAGACTAAGGTTCATGGATGTATATTGTACTTTTGATTGTTGAATTCACATATTCAGCCCCCAGAAGAAGGGAAAACTATACCCGGAACCTTTTTCTCTTAAAACTTCTGGATTCGTTTGAAGGACGGACCGCCCAGTGTCACACCATTTGCTGTCCGTGGAGCAAAATAACCACATTGAAAAAGCGTTGCTGTTGATTGAGTGTTTCTCTTCCCGCCCGGCGCTGTGAGTGCTTTAGATGGACTGTGTGGAGCAGACAGACACAGAAGCAAAGGCGCCTTCCGTTGTCGACCGATATTACACACGGTGGTACCGAGCCGGTAAATACACCGTTAGCTGCTCGGTGGCTAATTCAGCTAACCTCCGTTCACTTGAGACCTCAGTGGAAAGAGCACCAACTCCTCTGATAATAACCCAGCACAATGCAGTGAGATGAGTTGATGAGTTGAAATGTCCCGAGTACGTTAACCGTGTTGTTGTTTTGATTTAGATATGAAGGGGAAACCGTGCGAGGACCACTGCATCCTGCAGCACTCAAACAGGTAACAGTGGTGTGATGGAGTGACCGTTCATGCAGAAACACACTGCTCACTTCAAATGTCACATCTATTCTATTAGACTACTACTAGACTACTCAGTATGGTTTTATGGTAGTATTAGTGTATCATATTGAGAGGGATATATAAAACAATGTCTGTGGTTGAGCTAATAACAAACACCTTCCATGAAACAACAACATAAAGCATAGGGCTGCACGATATGGTACAAACATAATCATTGTGATATTGTTCATGATTAGTGTAGAAATGATCATTTTTGCATCACAAATTAATTTTCTCCCAGCCCTATTGAAATCATGATATATCAAATGTTTGGTGGTCTATCAAACGAACATGTTTTCTTAACCCTGGAGGACAGGTTGTGTAGACCAGGGCAGCTCTGCAGCTCTACAGTGCTTCATTATGATGCTGTTCTGTCACACATCATTACAGCTCTTGTGATTTGCACTTGGCCATAGTGCGATTTCGATAATATTTAGATTAATTGTGCAGCACAAAGGTGGTATCATTACAGGACAGTTGATTGCATGTTACAGTGAGCAGGGGTTTCTATTTTTCTGGTCACCCAGTGTGTTTTGTTGATGTTTTGAAAATGTTTGATGCTCCCTGTTACAGTGTCTTTAAATGTTGTGTCCCACTGTTTTTTTTAACTTGATTTAATCCACAGTCAATATAGGTGACATACACTGAAATTGTTAATTGTTGGTATTTTAAAGGCACACTTCTAAATTTGTGTTTGCTCTCTGCAGAATATGTGTCGTCACGTTAGCAGACACTCACCCGATCCTTCAGAATGGGCGGACAATCAAAAGCATCAATTACCAGATCAGTAATGGCTGCAGTCGGCTGAACAATAAAGTGTCTGGGAAGTCCAAGCGGGTAAAATCCTAATGATTAGTAAAGCTACACATGATTTTTGTCTGTGTGCATAAATTTGTACTTGTGTATCATCACACATTTGTAAGTGGTCTGTTTGGCCTTAAATGCCTTATTCATATTTATTTTTCTCCCGTTATCTTTTAGGGTGGTCAGTTCCTCACTGATTTTGCACCTCTGTGTAGAATAACATGCACAGATGAAACTGAATACACAATCTACAGGTGAGACAGTAGTTTTCTAGGCTTTCATTCCACATGCTTGTATATCATGAGCAGTCACACACATCTATCATCTTTTTAGCTGCATCCGGGGACGTCTTCTTGAGGTCAATGAGAATATTTTAGAAACACCCTCTCTCTTGCTGGAAAGGGTAAATATACATTTTTAAACTGTAATGTTATCATAATGTGTGCACATCTAGATACTGAATGTATTTGTGTGTATTCCTAATAATTCACGTTTGTGTATCTATTCATGGTAAGAGTCAGTGTGCACATTTACATATTTTGTATACACGTATACATTCTTATCTAGCATAAGGCCATACATTTGCATACAAAATGTAAAAAAGAATACTTCCAATAAATAGTTTTTAGTCATGATAAAACTGTCAGTTTCTTTAACACAATCATTTAAGTAGTCTATACTCATCAAAAACAGATGTTAGAAATGTTTTAATAGTGCTTTGTCTGTAAAACAGCCATCCACTGAAGGATACATCGCAGTCATCCTGCCAAAGTTTGAAGAAAGCAAGAGCATAACAGAGAATCTCCTGAGCAGAGAGGAGTTCGAGAGTGTCGTCTCCAAACGTACTGTTGCCCAATCACAACCCTCTTGACGGAGCTCCATGTTCTTGCCTTAAGTCAAAACTGTTCTGGGAGAGTTTCTCTTCCTTCCTCTCCCCCCAGGTTGGGTGACGACTGAGGAGGACATTCACTTGTGGTCCCTTCAAAGGGATTATTGCATATAATGCTAGCACTGCACTGTGCCTCTAGACTATTATACATTGTTTTCCACTGTTTGAGTGTCAGGAAGCATTCAAGTTCTTTATTTATTTTCTAATTTGAAATAGAGGAAAGTCTTTCTGTTAAATATTCAGAGTGAATTATTTTTCTAGAATGTCAATAAACACAAACAGTGATTTAAGAAAAAATATTGTTTATTTTTTGTGTCACTTTTATTAACCTTTCAATTGTCAAAATAATACATGGTCCAAAACTATATCTATGATTTCTTCACATCTGTAGCGCCACTACAATACCCAGCATCCTTAGCTGCTCTCACACTGTACAAAGCATCTCTAAAGCTTAATGTTTGTTATTCATTTCAGTCATTACCCCCCCCCCCCCCGCCACCATACCATAGTCATTACCTTAGGATACTTACTGTGTGTACATATATATATATATAATAATATATATATCTATGCTTCAAGTACCATATTATACATACCATATACCATTTAATACATACTGGCCTACTAGGCAGCTTCACAATGATAGTCTTCATAACAAGTACACTTCAAGGCTCCATTTAACACACGTGCCAACTCAGAATTATCTTTCATTTCTTTTTTGAGAAAAACAAAAGTATAACAATATATGCAGAATATGATCTAATAATGCTCAGGACAGTATAAAGTAAGCTCCTGGCATCTCAAAAGCATCTTGGCTTTAGCTTTATCATCTGACCTTTTGGAGAAACCAGGACCAAATAGAAATCTCCAGTGATGCACACTGGAATACTAAAAGCTTTATTTGTCATAATAGTAGCAAGCTGAAGATCTTTTGTCTTCATGAGGACAATCATATTTGGCATTAAATTGATTTTTGCATTTATTTTTTTTACTGACATGGCACATGGGGGACATTCCATAGCAAACTGTATAGAAATTAGACATTAATCATATGGCGTGGTTGACTTTTAAAGTACGTGTTTATCAAAGTAAGAGTCTGACTGCAATGCCAGTGATCAAGGACAGAATGTACCACTATGGCTAATATTACAGAACAAGTGTTAACGTTACAAACCTATGACACATTGACCATAAACAAACACAAAGGTTTGGTTGACGATGGCATCATGCATGGTGGGTTTTTCAGCCATTTTGTTTTTTTCCCCCCCATTTGGCTAACATGTGCAACACGTTTACAGTACACCACAAAGCAAATAGGCTTATTACACAGAGGCACATAGTGAAGACAGATGTATGGCTGAACATCAAGAGGAGTTCTGTCCTGATTTCTGATCAGTTTATCAATATCCAGAGAAATGATAAAAGTGACACCGAAATCAGGTTTGTGTCGGGCCCCTCTCGATCTTTAAAGAGGCTCACTGCTAATGGCAAAGTCATAGTGTTGGCTGATTGTCTCCATCTCGTGGATTCGGGTGGAACTGGTGCATCAGGTAATGAGCTACCCTGGGGTAAAACTGCCCCTGGGCACAGAGAGCTTGGATCTACTTCTTCCTCTGTAAACAATTCATCATCCAGACAGCAAATACAAACTCTGACTGACCCAGGCAACCATCTTCACCAACTGGCTCTTCGCCACTCTCTGGTGGGTGCATGAGAATGAGGGGAATGAAGTATTTCCTGGACTGCATGTCCTCCAGGAAAGGTGAGCTTGGCTATGTGCTGCTCCAAGGGAGAACAGTGGACAAAGGAGTTGACTATTTCCCGGATTATTTGCTCTCCAGGAGGTTGAGACCGGCCATGTGCTGCTCCAAAGATTTGACACCGAAGCCGTTGCTGCTCTTGCTGTTGAGAGCTCCCTCTTCCTTGACAGGTGTGGATGCATCCTGTCGCTCTCTCCAGTCCTGCGGGGAACCCAGGCTACTCCTCTCTGACTTGTACTGGAAATGGACAAAGCAGGGAGAGAAATTAATGGAAAGAAACCAAATAGGAAACTCAAGAGTTCACTATCTTTTGAACATTTTGGCCTCACCTGTCACATTTGTTTTATTTCTGTTATCTGGTTTTATGCTGCTATTTTTTATTTATTCTTTTGCTACTGAAATAAAAAAAACTTGAATTGCATGAAAAGGGTGACTTGTAGTGATGAACCCTCAGAGAATTATCACCCAACTCTGCAGTTCCTCTCAGCTTTATGAAGCATTTTGGCATCTTTCAGCTCATTATTTTGATTTTCTGGCCCCTTACTGTTCTCTCTCACCGCTCTCATCAGTGAAAAATCTCTACCCACTGCACACTTCTTTCTCAGCCCTAAACAGCAGACAAACAAAGTTAGCAACTCATTTCTGAACATATTGGTGAGTATCTTGCAGCTAAAGAGAGATATTTCCCTCAGCAGTAGGTGGAGACCAAGCTAAAAGGTGAGTGAATATTGGACTAAAATTCACCAAGTGGCCAGAACCACGACTCTAAATGAATGCTGATGTTGCTCCGCATTTGCTGGACATGTAACTGCTTGCTAATAATTTTGCCATATCAACTTAAGGTGGTATACGTCAGTGTGTGTTGTGTTGTGTGTAGGTTCACAGCTTGTTTCCACTGCCCCTAAATGACCCAAAAATCTGTTATTGCAAGTTTAATCATACTTGGGCTACATAAACTTTTCTGAGCTCTTTTTCTTTTAGTTTGGTGTACTTCCATGTAGCTTGCCAGGCTAATGCTTGTGCCAGTAATTCAGTCATTCAGTCATGAGTCCTGTTCAGTGGCTGTCACCTTTCTGTTGAGCTTGTTACAGAACGGCAGGAGGGAGAGGACCACGGTCAAGATTCCTCTTGTTGTCTGAATGGATGAATCCACCTAGAAACAAAGAAATAAAATGATAAAAAAAATAGTTATAGAGGGTAGCATGGAGACACATTGAATACAAATGCACGAGAATATACAAACACATGGACCCAGCAGCCTAACAACCACACATGCACGTCACCATCTAAACTGCGTTTAGCATATAATTTAACATTTCCTGATCAGTGCTCTACTGTGCTGACACACACTCTCCAATTAGTGATGTATAATAAAGCGAACATCAGGATGGAGAGACGGCAAGATGGAAGTGAATACATATCAAAGACATGCTCATTAATCAGCATAGGACTGGCTATTCTTCATCCCGGCCCTTTGATTCCAACCTTCGCCTTTATTACAAGGTGACCTAAGGTAGCTCATCCCTGCCCAAGATGCTCATTAATTCCTCACGGACATTCATTACTCTAGCGGCCTGTGTTTGATAATGGCGTTACTCGCAGATCACTCAAACATAATGCTGCAGCCAGTAATGAACTAACGTGGTTAGTCTCAGCTCCACTGATGCCCGTCTGTTGTTAGGTATGTAGTTTTGATGCTGTCAAAGCTAATTATCCCTTTACCAAAATAAAAAAATTACAGAAAGTCTGTTCCGTGTGATGTTACTAACTTAAAAACAAGCTCAAGGCAAAACAAGTCATCAATTCATTGTTTAGAAAAAGTTTACACAAACAAAAAAGATACACAAAGACACACAAGTAGTGCAGTATGGGTACCTTCTGGAAGGTGGCAGTCTTGCCCTGTACAGGAGTCTTGGCCCCCATCAGCAGCTGTTGGCATAATGCCATCAGTTTCTCTGTCTCTGTCACCACCAAAGACTTCTCCTCATCAACCAGCTGTAACAGAGAGAAAGACAGTTTGAGGGAGAGATGTCTATCAGGACAGCAGAGATGGTTTATGATGGTATTATCCAGGGAGACAACAGACACAGATAGATTTACTGGACTAGATTTACAGTGCTCTTGGTCAAATATGAATCAAGCATCACAAAAAGGAAGAAGGAGGGTGACATAAATCCAAATTTAGTGTTGTTTGATGTAATCCATCAGCAACAGCCAGGTCATGATCTACTGCTTAAGTCTGTTATTCAGCTCAGTTAATCCCTAGATCTCAGTCACGGGGGCCATCAATCTACTTCACTTACAAGCCACCAATGACCTAAAAGCACAAGCTCTTTTATTCAGGGTAGCACTACCCATGACTGGCAAAAGTACATTAAACCTCTTAAACCTCAATTAAAAATGCTCAAACTAATTTGCATAAATAGCCTCGTAACTTCAGTGAGGACAACACAGGTGTTCTACAATTGTGTTTGGTGCCAAAGAACTATGGGGGTGGAGGGTGAGACAGAGGGACTCCATTAGCACCAGTTTGTTTGATGTAATTAATCAGAAAGCGTGAGGCAAGTTGAAGAGCCGGTCCTCCTGATTATTAATTAGTCCTGGGCGGTCGTAGTCATCCTCTCCACACATGCACATGTGCACAAACATACACACCTACAGACATAGCAGTGACAAATGGCAGTCGTTAATGGCTGTCAAAAAGAGCCATTTAATTAAACTTGAAGGACCTGGGGAAGAAGTTGGTGGAGGGCAAGAGGAAGGAAGGCACTCAGGCCACGTTTGTTTGTTGGATCTCAACTCGGAGTGTAAAGGAGGACGGGGGAAAGTGTGTGACAGCCTTAATTTCCTGCTCTCGCTGTGTGATTTATAAGGCAGACCTGGCACCGTGGCATGCCAGAATGGGTGATATGGGTGTGAGAAGCGTAACGTGGAAGGGAGCACAGGTGTCAGAGTGTGTGTGTGTGTAGGTGTGTAGGTGTGTGTGTCTGCATACAGATGGGTTAGCAGCTCACCCTGTGCAAAAGAAAAGACAGTTTTCTTTTCTCTTTGGCTTCATTTTGTGTGTGTGTGTGTGTGCGTTTTGTTTTTTTAGAAACCAGACTTAATTCCAATTATTATTAATTAATAAGTCACATGTGTTTTTAGAGACAGATTTGTTTATTGGTATATACCTGAGTGGAAAAAGTGCGGAGAGATGAGCACAGCTGGAGCCCCTCTTCAGAGAGAACCTTAAGAGAGAGTCAGAAAAAAAGACAAAAATCTAAAAACTTACACAAGTACAAGCAAAACTTCCACCAGGAAGCCAAAAAAAAAAAGAAATAGAAAAAAAGCACAGTCAGTAAAAATGATCAGTTTTATGATTTTTCTCGGCTCTTATCAGCATGCTTTCTCGTCTCTTTCCCATATCGTTCCTTTTCCTCTCTTATCTCCTTCGCTCAACCCAAATGGAAAAAATCCTGGCTGACATTTTGGACCCTGATTCTACAAATTACTGCACATTATTGGCAATCCCAGTTCAATAGGACACACTCCTCCATGCATTCTTGTCTGTTATCACCTTGTGTGCCCGATGTGGCACTATATTACCATCCTGATGATAAATCCTAGTCATGCCCTATCAGATCTGCGAGAGGGAAGTGAAATGAAGGGATGTATTTACTACTGTAACCTATTGATCTGCTGGGCCCAGTGTGTCTTCGGTTTAATAAAACAACACATGCGTTAATTTGCAACTTCTGTAAAACAGGAGGAAAAGAGAAGAGAAGGAGAGATTAGCAGATATGGATGTACATACCTCTGCTTGATGAAAAAGATCTAGTGTTGTTTTCAGCAGCCCCTCCCCTCTGGAGAATCAATATGGGAAAACACAGAAAATGAGGAAGGTAAACAAGGATGAGAAAGATGGATGAGGACAAAATACATCCACAGCAATTGACAAACACTGTATCTTAGATGAATTGCAACGATTTTATTGTCAGAATGAGTCATAGTTATGTCAATCGTTCCAGTGCCTCAAACTATGCCTGGATGATATCAATAGCCGGGGGCTCTCATTAACACTAAGCCTCTAAAGAAATTCATGTGGATGTTTAAGAGACTTTTCAGTGTTGAGCTCAGAAATGAATGTGGCAAATCAGCAGGCTGCAGATATAAAATCGGAGCATGTGCGCATCTGTGTAGCGCGTGGTTCGGTTACCTGGTGAACAGGTGCATGTTGTAGGCCATACTGGCCAGGCTCTGGCTCTGTCGGACGATGTCGTGTTCCTGCTCCTCCCATTTCTCCACCTCTGTGTCCACGTCTGATGACAGCAGACGAAGCTCCAGACCCAGCTTGGCCATGCTTGTCTGCTCCTGCACGCACAACAGGAAGACACATACGTACAAAGTCCATAGGGGAAAGACTGAAATATAATGGATGCGATTATAGAAATTTATATTAGCAAACAGGATTATTTTCATTTGTTAACACATTCAGGGTTCTATAATCAGCATAATCCTGCTTCCTGTGGTGGTTGGGCATGTGAAAAACTGCCGGCAAAATTGCAGCCTATTACGGCACAAACACCATCAATTCTTCAAGCAAGTGACACAAGATTTCCTGGAGATGAATATACTGCTGTCAGAACAGGGTACAAGACATGACATGATGTATTGTGCCGAAAGCGTGAGGAGTTTATGGTGTATGCTACCTCTGCATCCAACTTGACAGCCTTGGCAGTCTTCAAATTAGTGAGTGAGTGTTTCTGTAGGAAAAAAGAGTGGCATTAATCAGAGGATTACAACCACAGGATCACTGGAATATTCATGAGGAAGGATGGTTTGATACTCACCCCAGGTCTGGGAAGCGACAAATAAGGTCTTTTGTCTCCTAGGAGTAGAGAGTTATTATGATTATCTAAATGCAAGGTCACAAGTGCACATAAAATGATCATGTGTTATTCCTCTCTGAATGACTGTGTGCAGATATCCCCTCTTTTTCAGAAAATTAGGGCGGCAATTATGGTTATTCAGTAATTATGGTAATAAAATTGTTTTGCTTTCATCACTGTCCACCCATGACACATTTTTATCTTTCATCATAAACACGGACAGCAGTGTTCGTTTCAATCGACTACATGGACGATAAAGTCTACTGTAATGTTTGTAGGGGGAGATTAGGAGTAAATTAATGACAAGCAAATCTCTCCACAGTGTCCATATTTTACTGTTTAAGACAGCATTTTATGGGAATACAAATGTGTGATGGATGTGATCCTTTCACCCACTGAGCTGCACTTCAAAATATTTACTCTGTTTTTTATGAAAGTCACATTTCTGAGGGCAGCCACGTCTTGGAAATATGCCTGAAACATCTTTACCCTGTCTTTGAGATTTCTCAGACTTACAATGTGTAAAAACCACAAGGTGGATAACACCCCCTGATATATACATGCATCTGTGTGAACACAGACGAATGTACAGTGGATGCAAATATACACACTGAGTATCTACATGTACTTTGAGTCAGCAAGGGTATAAGCAGATGATTTGTAAGGGTGGCTGTCCATGATTTGGATGCTTCAGGTTACTGCAACAATAATGAATAGAGAGAGAGTGAGTACAGAGGACGTATGAATGCATGTGTGTTTAATGACATTGACAAAATGCTTCCCACGGTCCATGATGATTAATTTTTAAAAGATGTGCTCATGCTGCTTCCTTTGCCGCAACTTTAATTTTCATCAAGGCTATTGAGGTGTTCATGGGGAAAATGATTCACCAAGGTTTTATCAGAGAATTTCATTCTAAAGTGCTGTTGACAGCACAATTCGCCCGTATTCGCCTGTGCTTCTCACTCTTTCTGAAAGACTTCCTGTTACCTGTGTATGTGCCGACTGTCCTACCGCCTCAACCCACCCAAATGCACACAAGTATCCGTTAACTTTAGTAAAAACGCACCTCGCCTGCCTTCAAAGACGTCATTGATCTCTCTCAGCAGCAGGGCCATGTCACAGAGCTGCGACTCCCAGGCCTCACAGAACACCTCCAGGTTCTCCTTAGCGATCTTACTGGACGGGTGGAGGGCCAGCGTCTGGGCTGCCGAGATGATCTGAACAAGAGTGTGAAGAATTATGACATGAGGAAAGTAATATGAAAATAAAATTGGAGTTTAACTGAGCAGAAAAATATGCAAGTGCGGTAAAAGACAGAAGAACAAAATGGGGTGTAATTCTTCTCACTGTGGTGATTTTCAAGTTTATCAGATGACACTATTGTTCTAATAATAAACCAAGCTATTGAAATTTAAGTTGGAAGCTGATTTCTTTTCAAACTGTACCTAAATATAGGAATTAACAATAGACAATAACTAAACCTGAGTCAATGATATGTCTAATATTACTGTTTAAACATTGTTGTGCTTTGCAAGCCTGTTTCCTGTGAGCAGTGGGTAATAACTGGGCTACTGGTCTCTCGTCTTTCATCAGCACCAACATGGTAAGACAGTAAAACATCACTCTCTCAGGATTCATATCAGAGCCTCCGTTCTACTTGTGCGCTTATTACACCTATTGCTGTTACACTCACAACTCAGTGGTCCGTAAATAACTGTAGAGTACGGTCTAAACCTGCTCTATATAAAAGTGCCCTGAGACAACTTTTGTTATTATTTGGTGCTATACAAATAAAACTGCCAAGTAGGAAATAAACTTACACTGCAGCAGGGGACATGACTAGGCAACTTACAGTAAATGTTAAAAACATAAACAATGATATTAATAGTGCTTTATATTATAATGAAATATCAGAGTAACAATATTAAAATGCAACTGAATTCAGACTAAAACATCTGACTAAGTTAAGTTTTTAAACAAAAAAATGGTATTTTCAATTATGATAACTTAATTGTGGCTCAAATCTTTATGGTCTTTTATTTTATGGAATTAATAAGTGGGCCTTGAAGGCGTCATGCCCAAACTTGTGTTTTACATAATAAAGGGATTAAGGTTGATAAGTTCAGCACGTCTGATGCAAGACCGAATGTGCAACTGAGCTCAAGCTTGAAACACATGTAACAATTTAGAATATCTGCAATCAAGTCTGGTTTCTAAAAAAAAAAAAAAGAACGCCCACACACACACACAAATGCGCACACACACACACACAAACACACACACACAGACACACAGACACACAGACACACGCCCATCCCCTACAGTGGAGTATTTAATAGCCAATTACCCTCTGGGCCACCCCTCTATTACTTTGGGCACACACAGAGACATATCACCACCGCCACCCTATACTGCAACGTTATTGATTGGTTGACCTTTGAACTCAGGAGCGGAGTCATTACTGCAGAGTCATGCGGGGCCTGACATTAGTGCCGCAGGACGGGAACATTCTACATTGCTGGATAATTACTGGCATGGACGGTTTCCAAGAGCAAACATAATTAGATCTGGGATAGGGGGACTAGGTGGACAGCATGTTCTCAGCCATCTTGAATGGATGGCAGGTGTAGGAGGTAGACAGAAGAGACGTGAGGTAATTTGTCTATTGTCCCTCCTCACTGCGTCAGACCACTGTGAGACCGGTTTGACTTTATTGACATCCAATAAATGTGTTGAATGGAATGAAACGGGTCTCAGGTTTAATTAAAGTTTGTCTTTCTAGACTCATCCTGTCTCCCCTGCCATTTACACATCAACTCAATGGGGCCAAAATGTCAAACTAACAAAAACAAAAATCCATACAGAGAATGTTTGGAGGGTTAACCTTACCTGTGGACCAATGACATGGAAAGTCTCCTCAGCGTGTATACAGGTAATCTCCAGAGGCTCAGACCCCGACACATGGCACAGCAGCCGACACGTCTGAGGTCAAAAACACAGGAGGAAAAAAAGACTGAATGGAGGTGCTTCAGAGGTTTGAAAGTTATACTGAAGGAAATATATTGTGCACATACTACCTTGCTACCAATTAAGTGCTTACTGGCAAAAACACAATCATTGAAATGTAAATCTAAATGTATCACAGTGGAAAAATCATATATTTTAGACATTTATACAGTAACCCTTTTAGCATTGATGTTGACTGCAGAAATATATGTTTTTCATTTGTGTTTCAGCAGGAAGGAAAATAAACTTTTGCGCATAATCTATGCTAATGCATAATGAGTGAATGTTAAGGCTGGATCTTTAAGAATGCGTCAAAACAATTTTTTGCATACTTTTTGTCATCTTAAGACAATCGAAAGAAAAACTCTTACACAACGTCTCTTTTCAAATTATACTGTAAGATTTGTTTCTTAGGGCCACTAGCAAAGACATGACAAAGCCTGTCTGTATTTTCCTGCTCAGTGTTTGCATAACAAAAAGGATAATAAGTGCACTCTACATATTTATTCAATTTCAAGCTATATGTCTTTGCTTACGGCAGCTATTTTGCCTAATAATGCAGATTGATAAGTAGGGACAAATATACGGAAAAACCTCTTCTAGCCTCATTGCCCCCGCTTACCTCCACCAGCTGCTCCTTCTGCTCAGTGAGCGTGCGTGAATACTCTGCCACTGCCTCCAGGTTCCCCTCGCCACCTGCAGCTTTGAGAGCCCGTAGAGGCAACTGCTCCCCGTGAACTTTGAGCAAGTCTGAGGCACGACCGACTGCCACCTTATGGAGCTGGAGGAGGAATCAAAGATTAGATTTTAGAATAGGAAGAGGAGAGAGTAATGGAGGCTGGAGAGAAACACAACAGAAAGAGAGGTGAGTGAGAGGCATGAACAAGGGTGGATTTTGAGGAGGAAGAGCAGAGGTGACTAAATGACAAGGTTGTGTTGACAGGTAAGTTGAAGAGTGATGTAAAAAAGAAGTGTGAAACCAGCTACAGACTCCTGGGAGAGACATCCCAGTCATGTCTGTAACCTAGTACGCAGAGGGTAGATGGACAGAGCGAAGACAGACTGCTGCTCACCTCACGTCTGAGGTCGTTGACGCTCTGGCATGTCTTCAGGATGGCTACCTCCATGTCCTCTGTGGCCTCTTTGGCATGGGCAGACTGCTACTCCAATGAGACAGGAGAGAAAAAAGTCCCAACATGATTCAACTGTTATCTGAGAGTATGACAATAAAAAAGACTGAATTGGAAAAGGAACTAGGGGCCTTTACAGCATGGTTTCTGACTTACTTGACTTTGAATTACATTTATGTTTTGAATAGGCAAAAAATGGGTATGTCAGCATGTAATTCTAAAATGATTTATAGAAATTATTTCATTTAAACATTGTCCAACAATTTTCTAAATTTTATACTTTCTGACCTAGCGGTGTTGGAAATATATATATTTCTCTTATTCTTATTATCTTTCCACAGTAATAATCAAGACCACAAATTGGACTGGGCAGAACACCCAAGAATATATGCACTTTCAGAATCTTTCCCTGCAATTTCGAAACATTGCAGTGTTCTGCTCTTTTCAATTCTCTAGATGACCTTCAATTGCAAAGGCTAGATGAGGTACTACTGTACAATTATGTGGCAGCAGTCTCTTTGCGTACTCTGAGCACACTGAAAAACTTTAAGTAGAAAAAGAACTGCAACATAATGACTTGTGTCCATCAACTTTGAAGGCCAAGGAGACTGCTCTATGGCAACAAGATGCGGAACACTACATGAAGTTTCTCTCTCAGCTGAACAAGCCTTGGTTAAAAAAATAAATAAAATAAAAACGTTATTCAGGTGGGTTATTATGCTCTGTTGTCCCGGGAAGTATGTGTGAAAAGAAAATGAATAGAATGACTAGGTGAGCCAGGCAGGGAGTCTTCATGTGCGTGGATTTCTGTCTGTGTAGCATGCTGTGTGTGTGTTTGTTGAACAGACACTGCATGCCACAAAGAAGAGTGTTGCATTCTAAAAAAAATATGAAAATGTGTTTATAACCTTGCTAATTCCCCTTCATTTCTTACACTAACAACCTCTTCCTCTTTGTTTGGATACCTCTGTTTTGCAGCTTATTATCATACTTTTCTTTTACAAGTGTCTTAAGGATGAGGTAGTAATTATTATTCTTCATATGGTAGCATATGTTTTAATGAATATTCCTGTAGGTGTATGTGCATCTGTGCAAGCGTGTCTGCTTGTGCCAACATACCGCCTCAACCCAGGCGTGCACCAGCTGCTGAGTGTCCTGGCGCGCCAGCTGGCACAGGCCTAGGATGGCCTGCCGCTGCTCGTGGCTGGTGTAGGCCGAATCGGTGAAGTCCTCCGTCCGCTCCACCAGCACCTCCAGCTGGCTGCCCACGCTCTGGGGTGACGAGAAGTACAGGTTCTCCCGCAGGCACTCGACGCTGGACTGCAGGAGAGGGGAGAGGAGGGGAGGAGGGTTGGGAATTGGGGAGGCGAGTTGAAGGAGAATATGAAGGATTGTTGAGCAGAGAAAGGGAAAGAATGAGGTGGCAACACACACAAGACAAGAAAAAAACATAATTTACTATCTCATTATCATTATGCACTTGACCTTATCATTAAATAACAAGGATTGTGGGATATGGGTTAAGCCTTAAGAGTCACCTTGGGCTATCAAAGGTGCACAATAAATTCTGCAAACAGCATCTCAAGTACACAAACATAAAAGCTAATGCATTTTCCTGTTTTATCCTTTATCTTATTTTCTTTTTTCAACAAACATCCCTTTTTATTAAGAGAAGTAATGGTCTCTGCTTTTGTGTCCTGAGATGACAGGTTTACATAGGCTTTTAGTTAAACTCTGCCATTAAGAGGTATGAAGCCATTCATTAAAAGCAATAAGCATCCCGAGGTCCTTTCATTATAATACTTTCTTCTTTTCTCTCAATGAAGCCCCCTACGGTTTTTTGTTGTTGTTTTTATTTCTTTCATTTGCTAGCACACAAGGAGGAGGGAGAAGATTAGTCATAGTGATGTAGGTTTAATGGTGATTCACACAACTGTATGAACCACATTATAAAACAGATAGTGCCCGTGTTGATTCTCTGAGTCACATTTGAAGCAAAAATGAATGGAATAATGTTAATGCTGTAGCCACAAATCAGCACTCACACAGAGCCACAACAAGATCGTGATTTGTGTGTTACGGTGATTTTTCAACAGCTAAAACTCAGCGTGATGCTTCACCCACAAGGGGATCGTTACTTAACTTCACGGACCAACACCTGTCAGAAAAGCATCACTGACCTTAAGCCTTTACTGCAATTTATGACGTCTCCTTCAGAGTCTAATTTCTGATCCTACCTTGAAGTCCCTGATGCCGTCGTAGATGCTGGCGGGAAGGCTCTTGTTCTCCCCACAGCTCCGCGCCTCGGTGACTATCTCGATGACCTGCTCCAGGGCACAGCGCATTCGGTGGAACACAGCGTCTTTGTTGATCCGCGCCGACTCGCAATCTGGGTGCCTCAGGCAAGTCTTTGGAAGGAATTCGATGCGAAATGTCAAAGCTCATGTCCTTCTCTACTCTTTTCAACTTCTATCCTTTTTCATGTTTTTCAACCACAATTATTTACTCTCTTTAGGTTTGTTTTATTTTTTATGATTATGTAACTGTGAGTTTTGAGCATTACCCTTGATCGCAGCATTTGAGAAACCTCGAAATTAAATAACCTTGAGAAGGCCCTAAATCTTTAAGCTTCACATAATCCATAACCCCTGCCCAGAGGTCCAGTGTTGGTACGCCAGCTGTTTACCTTGGAGGCTGTGAGGAGCATCATGGTGCATTTCTCCAGCACTGCTCTGGCTGCTGCCATCCGCGCTTTCTTCTTCTCATCCTTCAAGTCCTTTAGCCCAAACACACACACACACAC